GTGACAATTAATACTATGGCACATATACTTAATTTCAAGGGAAATCAAATATCCAAAGCATCATAAAATTGTTGCTCAATATTTTGTTAGCAATTATAATATGCTGTATATTATATTTCGTTCGCTTCGCTCACATAACACGTTTTATTAGTACTGCCTCTAGTAGTGTTGTTTTTTTAATGACGATGATGATCGATTATTATGTTTTATTATATTATGTATTATGAGGTTATTACGAGGATACACGAAGACAGTAAGTACAAAGGGAATATCGATCGACGCAGCGGAGGTCGATGCGACGACGTACTGTCTGAGTATACTTTATTATTATACATTTTTCCTTCCAAGGATAAATCGTGGAAATGTCAAAATCCAAAATGTTTAGAACAGCATCAGTGAACCTCTTTGTGTGGAGTCCGGTCAAATCCTGGTGACAGCCATGTTTGTTTTTATTATTAGAGGACGCTTAAACGCGAAATCATTCCATTTTTGAAATTCGCATTCTCTAATATGGTAGGTTGAAAATACGCCGTAAAATACCGCAAAATTACGGCACGCTGTAACTTATGGTGTTACGGTGACAGATGTATGATAACCTCATGTTAATATGATTATAATTTTACGAAACAATCAGAGCAAGCCAATGGAACTCATGTTTTAATGATTATTATTGTTATTGAAACATGTGGATATGACAAGTTTCTTGTGATTTGAATAGTCTAGTCTAGTTTAGTCTTTTTCAGAAATAGTCTGAAATTCAACAAAATTAAGATCAAAGTATTTTGAAGGAAAAAATGGTTGATGTGTTTTGCTTGATGGGAGTTAGAATACCCCGTTGTATAGATAACGTTTCTTCACCAGGACTCAATAGAATAATGTGTCAAATGTGTAATTTCCAAAACTCGCTTTTACCGAAAGGCGCGAGTGTTCTGTTACACATTTGTGTAAAATCCGTTGCCATCGATATTATGTCCAGCTACTGGTAACGGCAGACGGAAACAAGATTACAAATGTTCTAGTCAATTATGGAAGAATAAAAGTCAAAGCCACTTTTCTGAAAAAGTAATGGTATATCCAATGAGCACAAAACAAACAAATGATAATCATTTACAATAGATTCAGAAACAAATCATTGAGAGTAAAATCTATGAATCTCAGTAGATAAATAAAAAAAATACGTCATGTGTTTCGAAATGAGAAGAGTATTTCTATTCCTTCCCACATACTATACAAACCCGCTGCATAAGTCTTAATTATTTATACTGTATTATTCCTGTACTAGTGATATCAGTACTATGACGACTTCCCAGTAGCTACTGTCATGAATTTGTTTTCGCGTATCTGTTGACCGACTTAATTAGTTGATTATTAGCGAATTGCTGTGTTATGTCTGTCATCGTTTAGGCCTAATTGAAGTTTTGGACGGAACTTAGCTCAGTGATTTGGAACTAATTACCAGATAACCGCCGCTTTTTAGACTACTCATTCTGACAGTTTACATCCATAGTTATTAATGTAGTGAACGATTAATCAAAAGATATGACGTATTCAGTACTTAGTGTGATTGGCTTTATGATTGAAGGTTACGCCCTAGAGTCTTTTTACTGCTTTGTAATTGGTTAGAGTTGTGAAAATGAATAAAGAGAGTTTGAGTTGGTCTTGAAGAGCACAGCACGATAGACGCAGGAGAGAGAGAGTGCAGTCCTGGGCAGTCTGAGAGTTGAGTCCTGGGGCGAGCCTTGAGGCAGTCCAGTCTTGGGCTAGTCTTGGGTCAGCCTTGCGAGAGTCTTGGGGACTTTTTCCCAGAGCGCTGTGTCTTATAGAGTGCTCGATTGATCGACTAAGACGAGAGTTGAAACGTATTTCGTTGTGTGTGCCTTATTTGACTGTAAAGTTAAAGTGACTTTCCCGATCCCGTACCTCAAGGGGACGCGATAGAGAGACGAGACGAGATTCCCCCTGACACGTGTGGAGAACCCCGAGAGAAGAAGAATTTACCCCCTGATACTACCATCACAAATTGATTAAACTCGATACTTGTTTTTTTCAATCTTATTGGCTGTCAGGTTGAGGGTCTATTTCGCAGAGATATATATATTATTTCAAATTACCGCATTGTTTTGTACGATAAGTTTTGTCGAAAAAGGATAAAAATAAAGACCTTAAATTTGATAAAACATAACTTCACGACAAAAGATTAAATTTACAGCAATTATTGCTGACTTGTCTTCGACTGCGTCAGCGCTTCAAATGAACCGTTGACCTACCTAATCACGATGAAGTGTATAGAAAAAATATTGAAATACCAGCTAGTACTGGGTGGACAGCATGATAAATCGTATGAAGTGGTCGGATATAGACGCAAACGTAAACTACAAATTTCGAAATTCAAGGCAGTATCGCATTTAGGTTGTTCTCGGAATAAGAGCGAAACAATTATACATTGTTTTCAGTCTCACGTGATTGTTATTGATAGGAACACATGTTACTTCTTCGATATTTTCACCTACCACAAAAAAGACAGAACTATATAAATATGGTAGTTTCCATAAGAGTCTGTCTTAAAATATCATTTCACAAGTACATTCATTAGAATAATTCCTGGACGATATTTTCAGATATGATGAAAGTAGCCGTTTTACCATTGTAACCGATGGTAAATCGCAATTGTATGCATGTTTCAATTATTGTACAAAAAAAAAAACTTATTTTTTTATTCTCATTTCGGATTAAGAGCTTAAATTAAAATCAAAAAGAGATGAACTTATGTTATAATGGTTCCATTCAGGATTTTCGTTTTTGGTTTTTTTCTAACAAGGGACATAATTACGTGACGTGACATCACGTGTCACTCTATAACTGCGTTGGGAAAGAGAACACATTAGTACATAATTTGAAACAACTGTTTACGTGGTGAATATAAATACAAAGAACGAAAATATGGGTTGTGTTTGGGGCTGATGGCCCACAGTGAAATCAAAGGCACGTCCTGACAGACTAAAACATGTTCGTAGGATAAGCTTTTAACGGAGGCAAAACACGTTCATTAAAGCAGCACACTTTTACAATATCAATTTTCATATTGATACTCTGATTTAGGCTTTATCGTTACATAGAAAACGTATTTCATGACCCTATGGCATTGACTCTAAATTCTAAGCATGTCTTGCTGGGCACGTGAGCAAAATTGACGAGATTAACTACCTCCCCTCCCCCACTACGAACGATCATACACGCCTTCTGTGACCATGGCCTTGGACATTTGTTGTCGCTTAACGCTACCCAGTTCTTGTGAGCATTATGGTCAATATGACAAGTTTGAAGGAGCTCGCTATTTCTTTTAGCTGTAAAGTGACAAGTGACATACCAAACCGTCGATCAGTTAACACACGTCATATAGGAAACATTCAAGAACACAAAAGCAAAAGACTGACAACAAAACAATTTACATAAAAAAAATGTACAATATACATGTACATATCAGTGAAAGAAACAAGTTTTATTTCGAAACAAGTTTTATTACGAAAAAAAGTGGACACAAACTGTGACCAACACTTATAAACGATTTTAATTTATATTGTTGTAACATCATTATTAATGTTCAATTTAAATAACGTACTCTATATTGCCAAAGGCAGGGTTGCAAGAAATAATAGTATCCAAAAAGCGGGTATATTATCTAGAGAATTAAATTTTATTTTTGAACGACATGTTATATGGTTGTTCTTCTAACATATGATTTGATTCACTCGTGTTCGAAAGTTCACAACCACAACAAATAAATTCAAACCCATTTTGACAGATTGTTGACAGATAGTTTTTAATATAGATGGGGAACATGTGGTAGATCAATCTCTTTTAGAGAATTGGAATTTACGGGCCAGTGAGAAGGCAATTAATTTATAAATTAGTTTCTTTCTCATGTTACGCTTTGGTCAGAGCGCGCATTTGTCGGGAAATCAACAATAATATATGGTTCGCAAAAGGAGATTAGTTTGAAGGGCGGT